CCTCTGGGTGTTCATGTTTTTTCTACTGAGTGGCTGGTAAGCTTTTATGTATTCACCACCAAAGTACATACATACGTTCTCGGCTCTACACACTTGCTATCTAATTTCTACCCTTAAACACAGAAAAAGGACAAAATTGTTTCTTAAGATACTGACATGCATCATTTATCATCTCTTATTAGAAGGAAGACCATGAAACTAAATATACCACTGTATGTCCTCACAGAAATGTTATACCTTGAGAGCCTGAATAAAGAAACCACACATTTCTATACTGTTTGTATGAAAATGTTGTTTTGATAAATTTTACTGTTAACAACAGAAATAACATTAAAAATTTTATGTAGTCATAAATGTATAAACTGAACATGGAATAATTTATTAAGCTATCTTAAATTCTACATTGTTAGTCAACCTCCAGTGGCAATTTTTAAACATTTGCCATTCTAAAATAAACAAACTACTAAGCTTAATTTTTATAAAAAATTATTCCATAAGATCTCAACTATTGCCTCTATTAACAGGCAACTGCAGCAGAAAAAAGTGGGTGTCTACCCAATCTCTATTTTCTCTTTTCATCATTATTAAAAAACCCATATTTCAGTGGGTAGAGGAGAGAAGCAATGTGCCCACCTTAAAAAAAAAAAAAAAATCCCAACTTCCCAGGGAGATAGTAGCCATGTAACAAAATTCTGGTCAAAAAGAATAAGTAAAAGTTGTTGTTTAAAGTTTAAGGGAAAGCTCTTTAGAAGGGCAACATACAGGGGCACCTGGCTCAGTCTGCTGAGCGTCTGACTCTTGGTTTTGGCTCTGATCATGATCTCATGAGTTGTGATCTCACAGGTCATGACAGCAAGGCCCAGGTCAGGCTCCACACTCACTGCAGAGTCTGCTTGGGATTCTTTCCCTCTTCCTATCCCTCCCCTTCTACCCCTACCCCCACTCACATGCACTCTCTTTCTCTCTCTAAAATAAATAAATGGATCTTTAAAAAGGTGGGGAGACACAGACTTGGTTCAGATATGCCGAAGAGAGGTCTAGCCTCAATTCAAGCTTATGGGAGATAACCTCTAAGTCCCTGGCCTCTCCCAAATGGTATGAGTGTCTTTTTTCCATCTGCGGTTGGCTCTTCCAACCATATCTGATAGTTTATGCGGAGGATGCAACTCATGGTGAGCCCTAGACAGTTTGTGTTAAAAAGAGGACTCAGCATGGAGGCTAGCCAAGCCAGGAAAGCCAACCATGTGGTTAGGGGTATTGAGCCAGGTGATATCAGCCCAACTTTGGGAGAGGGGAGAACAGAGAAGTAAAGTTTGAATTCAACCAGGAGGGTGATGACTCAATCAATCATGCCAATATAAAGAAACCCCAATAAAAATTCTGGAGTCCAAAGCTTGGTAAGCTTCCTGTGTTGGTGATTCTTAAGCGCATACTACTACACACTGATGCAGGAAGGATAATATGTCCCTGAGGATGATGCCAGCATCCTATCTGAAATCCTCTCAGTCCTAGATTCTGCTCTATATCTCTCTTCCTTTGGCTGGTTCTGGTTTGTATTGTTTTGCTATTAAAAAAAAACAACAACCTGTAATTGTGAGTATAACATTTTATTCTACTCCTAGAGAGTATCTACAGGGACCCCCAAATTTGTAACTAAGCAAGTATAAAATAAGAGTGGCTCTCTGGACCCCCAAACTCTTAGCTGGTGTTAGAAGTCCCAGGAAGACTTGGTAGCCTGGAGGCCTGTTCCCTTAAAGTCCAGTTTGACAGCCTTTGTCTTTCTTCTTTTCTAAACACAATATTAGATGCAGAGTAGCCATTTTGTGACAACAAGATGACAAGCATGTGCCGAGTACATCAGACAGAGTTCAGTCAGGGAAAGAAAACCTGCTCTAAGTATTTCGAAGAGATTTAATGGAAGAACTTAAGTACTTAAGCACTGAAAGAGCTGGAAGACCAGAAGACTGGGGACACCACTGCTAGCTTCTGGGTTTGCCACCACCACTACAGTCCAGAGAAGTAGGGATGGCTATTGCTTCTCAAGTTAGGAAACTGCAGGAAACAGCAACAGAACGGAGGCAGGTGGTTCAATATGGAGGCAGATGCAAAGGCTCACAACTGGTGAGGCCCAGGGATCTGTCTACTACCAGGGATCTGCCAGAAAAAAATAACACGCTCTTGCCTGCCTCCAGTCTTCACATGCAGAAAGTAAATCACAGCCAGATCCCAGAGTGAAAGAGAGTTCTCAAAATATTTTATTCAATGAAAACATTTTTGGTCATTCTGTCTCTTGATCTTAAACTCCTTCCCATAATTATATATTCAAAATTACCATGGTGCTTAGTATATATGGTAAAGCTTTTATCATGTATATGACATACACTGTATTGTCGGAAGTTCATAAATAACATCATGGGAGACTATTCTTAACTTTTCTCCCAAAGTCTGAAATCCTAAAAGGTATGAATCTTAAAAGCCTCTTAGTAGAGAAAGAGATATGGTAGTAGAGGCTATCCTATAAGCAGTATACAATTTGTATACAATTTGTTATTTATACAATAACAAAGTATACAGTTTGTTATTTATATTAAAAAGTGTTCTGACACCAGAGTTACCGTCTCTGGACACTTCTTCTCAGTTACCTCCATTAACAAAAACTTTTCTGGACAGAAACTTCCAACACATATATATTTATTTTATTAATTTTTATTATGCACAAGTGCTACTGTATAATATAGATCCTATTAAAGCATAGAAATGTAGGTAGGATATAAAAAAAGATAAAACTAATGAAAAATTTAGGCTACACAAAAATATTATTCAATATTGAATATGGGTCATTTAAAAGTGTTTTATTTTGTGCAATTTTTCTGCTGAGAGAAACTTCACATAAAACTTACCATTTTAAGGTAATATAGTTCAGTGGTTTTTGGTATATTCACAATATTATACAATTATCCCCACTATGAAATTCCAGAATATTTCCAACACCCCAAAAAGCAACCCGTATCTGGGAGCAGCCACTCCCAATCCTTCCATCCTCCAGCCACCAGCAACCATTAGCCTACCTTCTGTCTCTACACATTGGCCTATTCTGAACATTTCATGTAAACAGAAATCATACAACATGATTTACTTTTTCATATGCTGTTTTATCAGTTTATGAAAAAACAATTGGAAACTTGTTTCAAAATCAGTTTTCTTAGTTCATGGTTTACTCATTATCATATCTGAAAAAGACTGACAGAGATCCAGAGACCCTAATAGAGGAGCATCATTTTTTTTTTTTCAGTCACACCCATTAATCATTTTGTTGAAATGTGGTTAGGAAATTACTCATTTTCTCAAATGAGGTTTTTTCCTTAAAAAAAAAAAAAAAAAAGATTTCATTTTTTTTAAGTAATCTCTACACCCAACATGAGGCTTGAGCTCACAACCCTGAGATCAAGAGTCACATGCTCTGCCAACTAAGCCAGCCGGGAGCCCCTCAAATGAATTTGTATCATTAAACCAGAAGGTGTTTTATTTTTATATTTTAATAGTCAGTTCCAAATTTTCTACAACTATTTGTACAAGTTTTAAACACATTTGAAATTTCTGATTCCAGGTTTTTAAGATGTTGAGTTTTATAACACGTGTAGCTTTCAGTGCGACAAAATCACATAGTGATGTTTACATTGCCAAATGTTTCAAATGTCCTTCTCTAGAACATGAGTTTATTTCTAGAAATAGTTGCTTTGTCATCCTTTAGACAACATTAATTCTTACTTGAAGGGACTGATTAGTGTGTTTGTTTTCTGTTGTCATTTTTAGTATCTTAATATGTAACATCCTGTGATAGCAACTGCTTTAAACCACTCATATACCCTGTGGGGGTTAAGTTAAAACTAGGCAACCTTTAAATCCACATAAGAGCCCATGCAAACTCCAAGAAAACTTGAATATCATGAAAGCGCATACATGAGTGTGAGCATCACTGGTATTCCTTCCCAAAGTGTGCAAGCCCCTTCTTCCTTCAGGTCACTCCTAAATCACATGGGACAAGTAGCCATTGGACCCAACGACTTACTGAGGTCTCAGTACCACGGCACAGCAAATATTAGGATAGCTCAATATCCTTTGTGTTGGAATTTAAAAAATACAAATGGAACTTGAGGCATTCCCCTCCCACACATATATCAATGGATCACCTTGCATATTCCACTGCAGAAAACACTAATCATAAAAGTGATTAGTGTTTTTATCATAAAAATGATAAAGCTTTTTAAAAAAATCTGAATTTAGCAATAGGTGAATTTAGGCATTCAGGAAATATCTGTGGAAGGGAGGGAGGCACAGAGGGAAGGAAGAGAAGAAAGAATTAAAGGGACTAAAGAATATGAAAAGTTGATAAATCCTGAGGAACAAAGTCTTGGTTATCAAAGTATCTCATTTATGAAGAGAGATGTTTAAATCCATGATTTAGAGCAGATTAAGAAATCGGGAGGTGAGACCTAAGAGGAGACTCTAGGACTGAGGACTACCTTTACATATGTTCTGTAATGTGCTCTTTGGACATAAGCACAGGAATTTACATTGGAAGCAGGGGCTCCTGACAGAATAAGGATCTGGGCAACTAACTATCTACATCATTTAAGTGTAAGGTTACATAAGCACAGAAGACCTTTTAATTTCATTTTAAGTTAATTTGATTTTTAAATTACACTAGAGTATAATTATACTGCGTACAAACATAATTGTACACAAATTTCACTCAGTAAGAAAGCTTCACTGAAAACACTTGAAATATAAATATCTTCCACTTATTGAAAAAAGGAAAGCCAAGGCATTATTTACCACTATCCACAACAAGTGCTCAGAACAAAAGGCAGAACCATTCACTGCACAACACTAAAGCAGTTTTTAAAGAAGTTCAAAACATTTACAACTTATTGCAGCTATGAAAACAGTATTTACTTAATATTCTGTCCAATGAGAAGAATATGAAAAAAGCTTCCTACCTTTGTGATAAGAAGTCGGTATCTATCCAGCATTGCCTGGTTGTCATGGCAGCCTGCTAATAACTGCCACACTTCTGCCCTCAGGGCTTCGGGGACACCACTCTTCACCAGAGTGGACAGCCCCTTCGGTCGTGCACCAAGGTTACTGTGCCTAAGAACACAAGAAAACAAACCATTCAAACTCCCTTCATCACCGCTTTTGTTATGAGTTACATTAATGAATTTACATAAAAAATGTAAGCCTGGGTTGAGAGAAAAACTGGGAAGGAGGCATGAAATGCCATCAGTTGCTCTGAGATGTCATGGATGTGGTTCCCCAGCCCCATCTTTTCTCTGTTGGTGAACCGTGTTATTCTTCTGTCAAGAAAAGTTTCTACTTTCTCTTTTTTACTTTTTAAAATCATTCTATGAACTTATTCACAAAAATGAATGTGTTAATTATGTATTTCTGGGAAGCATTTCAAGGCATAAAAAGAACCATCTGAATCCCTTGACATGAACATAGGGTAAGTTGGCTAGTGGCATGGGTACAGCAGGGGCTGGGGAAACGGGATGCTGAAAGTGGATCACAGGCCTATCATGTCTTGACTATATCCCTACATCCTGACCCAAAGTACTCCCTAAATGAAGGACCTAGAACTTTCCTACAAAACCTATACAACTCCACCTTGCTAGGGGAATAGCATAGACTTATCAGCCAAGGGTATTTAGAAATGAAACGAAGGCAAATATTTTTTGTCATGAAGTCCATGATGACATAGGAAGTATGCTACTATAATAATCTGCCCACCTGAACAAGAAACTGACTTGCAATTCCCAGTCTTGTGAATGTAATTTACATTCCTCCATGTTTTCCTGGTGCCTAGCTTGAACCTGGAGCTACATTTTACGCCCCTTTGCTCAGATTTTCTCTCTACCTATATTTGTTGCTCAGTTCTGATCTCTTAGGACTGACCCTGGTGTTACCATCTGGGCTCCAAACCTTGACGATGTACTCTGGTTTGATCTAACATTCAGACTCTGCTTTCAGGTTTTAGTCTTAAAGGTCATAGAATCAATACATCTATTTTCTAAACTGGCCTCCCATCTACTTCACCAACTTCTCTAGCTTATATATCCTCTTCCATCTTTGGCCCAGACCTCAGTTTTAGCAGGCCCTTCCTCTGAAAATACGTTCCATTCTTTTCCCATTCGGTCATAATCTGGCCATTTTGGAAAACTGTCATAACTCCTATAACTTTAAAGCTCAAGTAAACTCATCCCATTAATATTTTTAATAAAACATCAAGTTTATATATATTCTGCTTTCTTTTTGCCTTTTCAAAGAAAAATTTTATATTGCTAAGTTAGAGAACCTAAACTGCTGATACTGATTGGCTTGGAGCAAAATGAAATGAAAGGAGGTAGAGCTTATACATTTAAAACACTATTGCACATTAGGGACCAGAGTTATGCTGCTAAGTGAAAAAAAGCAAGTTTCAAAACAGTATATATTTTAAATTTACATACTCTCTCTCTCCCTCTCTCAAAATTTTATATGTAGTATTATTTTATTTTATTTATTTTTTAAAGATTTTATTTATTTGACAAAGAGAGACACAGCAAGATAGGGAACACAAGCAGGGGGAGTGGGAGAGGGAGAAGCAGGCTTCCCGCCTAGCCAGGAGCTGGATGAGGGATCCATCGCAGGACCTTGGGATCATGACCTGAGCTGAGCTGAAGGCAGATGCTTAACTACTGAACCACCCCTACAGTATTATTTTAGATAGATGTTCATTCTCTCTCTCCTTCCCTCTCTTGCTTCCTCTCTTACTCCAACCCATAATATTTTGAAGACTGATTTCAACCTGCATAGGAAAAGTATATAGAAGAATATACCCCAAAATGTGTAATAGAATTGAGAGGGAAATTACTTTTTATTTTCCTCTGCTCTTTGAAATATTCACAATGATCTTAAATTCTTTTATAATCATGCACACACAAGAAAAGTCATTTCAATTCTTTAAATTTCTCTCATGGACTTAAACTAAAATACGACTTTAGTTTGTAAAAACAAAGCTAAATATGCTCCACAAAATTTCTTGTATTATTCTCGAAAAGACTTACACCTGAGTAAACTAACATCTTTAATCTCCTTCCACCTGCCTCTTCTTTGCTATCTAATTGAGTATAATATTAGCAAAATAATATTGCGCCACAAGAGAGTCAGGATCAGTCATAAAATGATCCTTCTTACAATTTATTTGGTTCTGAATATACTTTTGAATAGGAAAAACATATGTTGTTTGAGGGTAGCTGAGTTTCTATAATCTTAGGGTAAAAAGCGGAATTAACTAAAAACAAGAACTAACTGAAAACGGAATTAACTAAAAACAAAGGTCAAAGCTCATTTCCTCTGAAATTAAAGCAAAATATTCTGAATTTTAAGTCCCATTATATAGCCACAATAGCAAAGTAATTAAATATATCATATGCTTCATGTTATATAGATCAGTAAGTCATCAGTGTACACACAACCGTTAAAACTCAAATACACACCTCCCATGTAAAGTAAAACTTTCCTCAACCCCACATAATCCTCTGGTTGTCATACTGTCTCCTACCTTACAACAACAGATTTCTCTAGAGCTCTTAAATAGTCATTACCTCTATTTCCTCCTTAACTCAGCTCAGCATGGTTTCTGCATCTGTCCTTAGTTTTCACTGAAGTAATACATGACCTCTCTCCATGCCACTAAGTTCAAGGGGCATTTTTCAAACCTCTCACCATTGACCACTTCGCTTCCTTTGGCTTCAAGGACAAAGCCCTCTCTCTTCCCCCTCACAGACCCCACTGCTGTTGCTTCGCCTCTGTGAACCTCCCAAGTCTTGTGGATACTCTCTTCACACTTTCCTCAGTGGTCTACTTCTCTTGTTTCTCTCATCTCGGAGTATTTTCACCCATGCCCGTGTGTTTGGAGTTTCACAGGCTCAAAGGCACCTCAAAATCAACATGTCCAAATCTCAACCCACATTTTCTTACTAAACCTTGCTCTCCAGGGTATCCTATCCCTATCTCAGTGACTATCACCACAATCTATCCAAATTAGAAACCTAGGAATTACTGTTGGCATTACTCTCCGCCCTTTAGAGATCCATCAACAAGGCTAATGCATTTTTTCCTGACCTTTCCAAATCCCATGCACTTCTCCCTATCTCCACAGCCACCAATTCTATTCAGCCTAGACCACACACAGCTTCCTAACACTCACTTGTTGTACTACTATACATTTCCAATACTTCTGGCAAATATAATTTTGTATAATGACTTAAGAAAAGATTTTAGGGGCGCCTGGGTGGCTCAGTGGGTTAAAGCCTCTGCTTTCAGCTCAGGTATGGTGCCAGGGTCCTGGGATCAAGCCCCTCATCGGGCTCTCTGCTCAGGAGGGAGCCTGCTTCCTCCTCTCTCTCTGTCTGCCTCTCTGTTTGTGATCTCTATCAAATAAAATTTAAAAAAAACTTTAAAAAAAGATTTTATATTTGGAGTATCTTTTCCTACATATGCATACATACACCCTAATGAACATTTTACCACAGTATGATTCAGCTCAATCGACATTTCAGCTTCTAGCTGACCCCCAGCCATCTGTCCGGCCAAGCATTATGGAAAAAAGTCTTTTCTCCTCTCTTAAAAACCTAGGCTCTATTTATCCTTATAGACTGGCATTTAAAAAGAACTAGGTCATTCATAACACTACACAATTAACAGCTCTAATTTACTGATTATCCTAGTAATCATACAGTTATTATAATGCATACAGCACCCTAATGCATAAGGGACAGTAAAGGATATTAAGCCAAATACTACTACTAATATACATCTATGACCAGGGAGGACTGAAATAAAATAGCAATTTATGGAAATAATCACTGCTTTCAATATTTCAGATAAAACTACCTATTAATAACTATATATGACTATTGCTTTAATAAAACATAAACTGCAGCGATCAAGAGACCTAGAAATAGGCAACTAGTTGTTACATGTGTTGAACCATGCACTGGAAACAAGAGGCATCTAATTATTCAAGAAGTCACACATAAAGCAGATATATACTAAATGTATTATTATCAGGTAGTTTTTAATAAATATAAGTAATTTTTATTATTAAATTTACATTAAATTTTATTTATTAAAAAAGTTTAATAAATATAAACTCCAGAAGGGTAAGAATCTCTGTCTTCTTTATTTTAGCACCCCAAGTACATAGAACAGTGCCTGGCGCAAAGAAGGCACTCAATATATTTTACATAAATAAGTGAACAGATTTATAAAATTAAATTAATATGATCAACTACTAAGTCTAAGCAAAAAAAAAATGCCTTTTTTAAAAAAAGATTTTATTTATTTATTTGACAGACAGTGCAAGTAGGCAGAGAGGCAGGCAGAGAGAGAGGAGGAAGTAGGCTCCCGCTAAGCAGAGAGCTGATGTGGGGCTCGATCCCAGGACCCTGAGATCATGACCTGAGCCGAAGGCAGAGGCTTTAACCCACTGGCCACTCAGGTGCCCCCCAAAAATGCTTTTTTAAAAGCAAACATGCTAACTGATTTTAATAAGATCATCGAGTTGCCATGTATTCATCTAGTCACCTTCAAAAAAGGCATCTTTTCTTGAAATGATCTAGGCATATAAGAACTTTTACTATTCTAAAACTGTCCAGAGAGAATTTCAAAGGGAAGATATTATTTCTAACAAAAATACCAGAGAAATCAAGAGATGAGAAGAGCCACTGAATGTCACTGAGTGGTCGCTGATGGAATTAGGGCAATTTTGACAGAAGGGAGGTGGAAGTAGGTGGGTGGGAGACAGGACAATGTGAGGACAGTGGCTTGACCCATTTTAAAAGGTTCTCACAGGAAAAGGAATAGCTAGAACTGAAACTAAAAGACAGGGATTTCTTCTTCCCCAACAGTGAGAAAATCTAAATATGTAAACCTAGATCCTACTTAAATTAAACAAGCTACAATAAGAAAAAAACTTCAAGAGAGGCACCTGGGTGGCTCAGTCAGTTAAGCATCTACCTTTGGCTCAGGTCGTGGTCCCAGGGACCTGGAATCAAGCCCCGAGTGGGGCTCCCTCCTCAGAGGGGAGTCTGCTTGTCCATGTCCCT